CGTGCAACATTTGCAGCCTCTGCTCTCCATCACAAGAAGTCCTGGGGGAGGTTCAAGGTAGATCCTTGACGTATCCACTTCGCAGCCTCGGATAGCCCAATAAATAAAACAGGAAGTTGGCGAAGCCCTGATTCAGCAAAGGTGTGAGCACAAGCTCGGCATTAACCTCTGCTTAAGCTGATTTGGAATGAGGGAGTTCATCCGATGGCAGCCCCAGAGTCAGACCAGAATGTGGGACCTGAGCAGCTGAAGCATCAGGGTTTTAAATCTGAGAGAAGCAAATGATTCAGGATGAGGAATTTCTGAAATGGAGGAAGAGAACAAAGAATGGGCATGGCAAGAAAGAGTGCTCTGAGTCATGGGGAGATCCCTGGGGTAACAGAGGCCGGCAGGAGCAGGACCTGCCGAGCCGTGAGGGCTTCTGCAGGAGATGTGCTGTGAGGAGGGCCGTGGCACACAGCCCAGGGCTCTGGGGGCACAGCTCTGTGAGCAGGGTGCAGTGAGCGGGCACTGGGACCATCCGCCCGGCTCTTTGTGCTCCTGCGATCTGTGACTCCATCACGATGCGGTTCATATTCAATTATGGTGTTTTAATGTAGTCATGGCTACACTGAGCAGACACATTTCTTCCTGATTTACACCGCTGGAATCTGCGATGCCGGTGGAGGCCGCGTACAGCCCCTGTCCCCAGGCTGCCGTCCCAGCACCGCAGAGAGGCGAGCAGCGCGTGGTGCCAAAGGGAAGCACGGGACGTACCTGCGCCCTGCGGAGTTATCACTGCCCTCGCTGCTCCTCCTGCCCTGGCCCTGGGTGCTGCCAGCACTGCGCTGTGCCCAGGTCTCACGGCCTCGGCTGCTCCATGGTCGGGGCACTGGTGGATGTCCCTCCATGTGCAGAGTGGCTCTGGGGCACCGACCTGCCATGATGTTCTGCAACAGCTTTGGTCTGCTGGTTGGAAATGTACAGCGACGATGCCCTCTAGGGAGCAACTTGTGTTCCCTTCCTCTAATTCAGCTTCAGATTTGTGAATTTTAAAGCACACGTTGTGTACATAGAGGTGTGCTCGTATCTGTACGGACGCTGTCTGTGTGCGTTCTGCAGTAATTCTCCTTGGATGCTCTTGCTTTCTCCTACAGTCAATTTCTTTGAATGACACGGAGCTGATAATGAATGTGATTTCAGTGCCAAATGATCGGGCTGGCTCATCTCATTCCACCTCTCCCTGTTTTGAGCAAGAATGTGAGGACTCGCTGTGTCTATTTCAGATTCCATCATGAAAGGAATAATTGAGATTGAGATTCTTAGTCACTCAATGCAGAAGGTCAGGGAATTAATGCTGTGTTACATCCAGACCATTCATTTACTGTGCCTCCTTTTTTAGCTGTCTATAGGGGAAAACAAATGTGCCACAGAGAAGGTAACGCATCTCCAATGCCACGCACATCGCCAGTCTCTGATAATGCACACTGTTTGTCTTTATTTTGGGGGAGTTCCAGGGCAGTTTTATCATTGTAATTGATTAGTGGCTACAGGGAAAAAAAAATCCAGGAGTAACAGGAAGAAATGAATCCAGGGAAACCATTGACTCAGTTGTAGCATTGATCTGCTTCTGGAAATTATTTATAGGAAAAGATTCACAGTTAATAATATTAGTTTGGACTTCTGGAACAGTTTATCAGGGGATCTTAAAGGCCTCTGCTAACAGTTAATCAAGTAGAAGAATAAGGTAGGGAGCCTCATTTCAGGAGAGGGAAGGCAGCTGGATTGCTGGCACGGATGTGGCCCAAGCAGTGCATCTCCAAGGATGCAGTGGCTGCAGAGGCAGTGGCACTGCGCAGGGCTTTCAGGGGGTGCAGTTTGGGGGTGGTCCTTGAAGAAGTCAGCACAAAACTCCTGCTTAGAAGTCTTGAGATGTTCACCTGAGCTACAGAGCGACCAGCAGGGACACAGCAAACACTCTCTCCTCTTCCCACGTTGCCTCCACGTGTTGTTTTTGTTTTTAGCTTAATTGATCTGTATCCCACCCTCCTACCCACAGGAGAAATGACACATCTGAAAAGAGCAGGAGCATTTCTTTCAAGTGGTCCGGTTGGTTTTTGTGGTGCCTATATACAAAATTGCCTGGAAGTAGTAAATAGAATTAAACACCGTGGTTCAGAAAAACAGAATTCTAAGGGCTGTCTGTTGATTTCAAAGCTGATGAAAACAAAGCAGGCTTTGAAATCCTTCCTTGCAGAGCTCTCTTTCTTCCTTCCTTATCATCTAAAAGATGGGCCTGATAATATTTGTTTTCCATTCTTCTTTTGAAACAAGTTGAAAAAATGATGCTCTTGCAATTAAGATGAAAATCCCAATGATTTTAATAAGGTCAGTGTAACGTCTTCATTAGCAAGATGCTGAAATAACTTGATGCAGATCTGGAACTGCCGCTGACAAAAACTTCAGTCTCCCCCTAATGTGTGGAGCCCCGTCTGCAGCAGGTGTGAGCTCAGAGCCGGGCCGGCACAGCCCGGTTTGCGCAGCAACTGCCCACCAAGGTTGGAAAAGACCTCCAAGGTCATCCCGTCCAACCGTCCACCTGCCACCAATATTCCCCCACTAAATCATATCCCTCAGTGCCACATCCAAATTTTCATGAGCACCTCTGAGGATGGTGACCCAGCACTCCCCGGCAGCCTGTTCCCATGGCTCACCACTCTTCCATAGAAGAAATGCTGCCTAGTGCCCAACCTGACCCTCCTATGGAGCAACTTGAGGCCATTCCCACTCGTCCCAGTTGGCAGCTGGTAGCAGGGCAGGCAGCCCAGGCAGGCAGGCAGCGCTCACCACTAGGAGATGCAGTTGGTTGTCAAAGGACAGACAGCCTTAAAAAGCAAAACCAAAACCAGTGTCTGTACCCTGTCCAACTTTTGCCCATGGGTATTGCGCCCAAGCTGCAGCACTGTGGAACCCACGTGGGCCCCAGGGCCGTCCTGGAGCCGTGGCCCCTCAGTGTGTCGGGGGAGCGGTTCTGCAGATTGCTGCCAACACCGAGGCAGAGAGGCAGCACCAATTGTTTGCAATGACATATTCTGCATTTTAAACGATCTCTGATTTCCTGGCAGCTCCCCCGTGCATTGCCCCTCCGTAAAGCTTTCTAAATAACATTTGTCAGGTGGAGCCGTGGCCGGGCGGCAGCAGGGCAGCCCGCAGCACCACTGCTGATCAGGGACTTCCAAAACCCACCGGCCAATCAATCTCAAGAACTTATTAAATGATAGATGGAATATAATATAAGTCATTATTTCTTCCCTGTGCATGAAAATGAATTATTCAGTAAAGATTTAGATCCTTTTTATTATGACACTGAATTTATAGCGCATGCATAACATAAATGCAGATTCCTCCATGGCAGAGAGGCGAACCTGCTCCCAGTGCAGTGAGGTGTCCTTACCTGGCCCAGCACCTCTCACACCTTACCTGGCTCACCACTCTCTCTGTGGTTTGGCAGCCCAACATCTGCGTTCCGCAGAGCCACAGAATCATTAAGCTTGGAAAAGACTTCCACGATCACTAAGTCCAACCCCAAGCCACCCCACCGTGCCCATTGACCACATCCCTCAGTGCCACATCCCCGCAGAGCGGAGCACCTGGAGGGGCGGTGAGCCCTGCTCTGTGGGCAGCTGTGCGGGCACCCGAGTGTTCTTTTTGAGAAGAAACTTGTTGGGAATTTCAGACAATAACCCACGTGCTGCTGGCAAGAGCCAGCCATTGCTTAGGCCCTACAAATGCTTCCTGCAACAAACCGTGCATCTCTGTTCTCAAACTGCTGTGTGTCAAGAGCTCAGCAAGCCTAAAAGCTGGTAACGAGGGGCAGGTGTTGTGTGGGCAGGTGTGGGCATCCCGGAGTCTTCTGTGTGCAGTGCCACAGCCCAGAGTCTGCATTGGTATTGGTACTGGTAACTTTCCTTGTTAATGGAATGAGCGCTCCAACTTTTAATTGTGCAGCTGGGGACAACATTAGCGCTGAGCAGCAGCTACAGAAGTTAACTTTGCAGGTCGTTAGCTCCTGAAAATCCGTTGGGAATGGATCTTTAGCACGGGCGGCCGAGAGCAGAGCACGGCGTGGGAGCGGGGCTGGGAACGGGGAGAGGGCGGGGGTGGGCGTCGTGGACATCGCCTGCAGGCACCGCGTCACCTGCGGGCTGCGGACCGTGGGGGAGGTCAGGATTTGGGGCACCGGGGTGCGGAGTTGCCAGCGCGAGCGGGCACCGGGACGAGGGGCACCGGGACGTTGACTTTAGACAAGCGGGGGCACCGCGACGTCGGGTGCCGACATCTGCGGGCGCGGGGATGCGGGGCTCCAGCCGCTCGCTCGCTCGCCGTCGCCGGTCAAGCGCCGCCTTCCGACCCCTTCCACCCGCCCTCGCTCCGCAGCGCTCCCCAACCCCGGCCAGAGCCGTGGAGCGGCGCCCCCGGGCGGAGGAGGCTGAGCGGCGCCGCCGGGCACGCGGCGGGGGGGGGGGGGAGAGCCGCGGCGTCGGAGGCGCGCGCGCGGAGCGAGGAGGGCGCTCGCGGCGGTGACGTCACGCAGGGCCACGCGACGGTGGCGGCTCCGCCCCGTGGCGCGGGGGTGGGGGGGCGGCGCGGCGCGCGGGATGGAGGGAGGAGAGGATGGCGGCGGGGGGGCGGGACGCGCGGCGCTGAGCTAAGCCGAGCCCACGTGTGACGGATCTTGGCCGCTTCCCCGGCGCCGCTCCAGTGAGGTCCTCCGGTAGCGGAGGGAGGAGGAGGAGGAGGAGGAGGTGGAGGTGGTAGTGGTGGTGGTAGTGGTGGAGGAGGGGGGGAAAGGGAAGGGAAAGGAAAGGAAAGGAAGGGAAAGGAAAGGAAAGGAAGGAGGGGAGCGGAGCGGAGCCGCAGCGAACCGAGCCGGGCCGGGCCGGGGAGGCGGCAGCGGCGGCGAGCGGGGGGGGGGGGGGTCTCGCCCGCCGCGCGCGGCTCGCGGCGGGCCCCGCGCGGCCATGGAGGCGGACGGGAGCCAGGCGACCTCGGGCGGCCCCGGCGAGGCGCAGCACGACCCCGGGTAAGTGTGCGGGCGGGGGGGCCTCCCCGGCCCCGCTCCGCGCCGTGCCCCGTCAAAATGGCCGATGGCGGCCCGGCGCTGAGCCCCGCTCCGCTCTCTTCCCCCAGCAAGATGTTCATCGGCGGCCTCAGCTGGCAGACCTCCCCAGGTAGGCGCCGCGCCCGCCCCCCCCCCGCCCCCCCTCCGTGCCCGCGCTGCCCCCCGCTCTCCTCTCCCCGCAGACAGCCTGCGCGACTATTTCAGCAAATTCGGGGAGATCCGGGAGTGCATGGTCATGCGGGACCCCACCACCAAGCGCTCCAGGTAAGCGGCCCCCCCGTTCCCCCCACGTTCCCTTCCCTCCCCCCTTCCCCCCCCCGACAAAACTTTGCGGCCCGGCCCGGGTCCGCCCCGCGGAACAAAGCGGCGGCGGTGCGGGAGGTGCGGCCCCCCGGTGCTCATCGCCCCCCGCCCGTCTCCGCTCTTTGTCTCGGCAGAGGCTTCGGCTTCGTGACGTTCGCGGACCCGGGCAGCGTGGACAAGGTGCTGGCCCAGCCGCACCACGAGCTGGACTCCAAGACGGTAGGTGGCCGCCCCCAGCGCCGCCCCGGATTCGGCTCGAACTCGCGAAAGCGGCAACTTTTTTTATTTTATTTTATATTTTTTCCGCTTTAATCCGAATTCTCCCTGCCGGCCGGTGGCTCCTCCCCACGCCTCACGTTCTATCGAGCGATGACATTGAAAAAATCCCAGGGTGAAATGTAACTTTTTGTGGCGTTCGGCTGCAGGTTTCCTGCGGGGCACTTTGTGCGGCTGCGATGGGTGATGATGTCCTCAGTCCGTCCCAGGGCCACCTGCAGCCGCACCGTCCCCTCAGTTGGTGCTGCTCCCGGAGCCCACGCTGGGGACCCGTGGGATTCACGCGTTGATCCACGAGGGTGAGGGCTGGCAGAGCTGGGCTGGCAAAGCTGCTCAAGTGCTGGTTTGCTGTTTATGCAAAGCTTTTTGCTACAGTCACTCTCCAGTGGATAACGTGACATTATTCAACTGAGATATATATATATATATATTTTTTTTAAGTGATCATTTAAAAAACAAAACCAGGGGACCTATCCCCTTGCCCTTGCGCCACATGTTGTGTCCAGCCCCCACTGCTGCCCTGTACCCAGGGGCTGGGGCTGAAGTTTGCGATTTGCACGCTGCCTCCACACTGTGCCCAGCAGCGGCATGGGGAGGACGCCGGTAGAGGTCATTTCTGCTCTGGTGCCGCTCAGTGTAAGCAGTGCTGTATGGGGATGGAGGGACTGTGGGGCTCAGCCCTGCATGGGTGCTCCTGTGGGCGCGTGGCCGCGGCTGTGCTGCTTTGTGGTGCTGGGACTGAAATGTGACAGCGGTGAAAGGGAGAGTCCTGCCTCGGTGCCGGAGCATCCGCTGTGTACCTGGATGTGATACAGCCGCACCAAGGGCAGGCCGAGCGTGGTGTGTGGCCCTTAAAGGGGTTGATGTGAAATGCAAAGCCACTAGGAAGCAGTTGAGGCGTAATGTTCGAACCCGACTGACAGATTCTGCTGGGCCTGTCCGAGCTCGCGGCCCCTGCCTTCGCCTGCCTCAATAATTTGATTTGGGGTTGAATCAGATACGGTGCAGTCACTGATTTGACTGTGCTCCAGAGATTAAAGTCACCAGACCTTGGTGTACGGCCGTATTCTGGGTATTTTTAAAGATAAATCTAGTTAGGAAGAACAAAGGCAAACAATATCCGAACAAGAGTTTAAAAAATGCCAGGAGAACACCCTCTCTTCCTCTGCCCATGATTATGTTCTCCCCAGCTTTCTATGGCACAGAGTCCCTGCAGCGAATTAGTTTGCTTTGCTTGGGGGAGGGGCAAAAAGCTCGGCGAGGGCCAATGTGCCTCAGTGCTGCCGTGTGAGCGATGGAGGCAATTCTGCCAGCAGTGCTCCTCGCAGTCAGAGCGTGGCTGGCGGGGCGCAGCTCGCGGGTCGCCCCGGCCGCTCGTCTGTAGCCGTGTTGTAGTGATGCTGCTCGGTGTAACATAGCGTTTGACTCTGTTTCAACGTTCAGCGCAGGAGGCAGATCGGTTGGGTATTGGCATGGAAACGTCGCTCTTGTTTACAGTTACGTTAAAAGCTTTGTTTAGGTAATGGCCATTCATATCAGAAATAGTATTATAGTCATTTCCTAGAGGACTTGTAGATACAGTAAGTAGAATCGTACCTAACTAACTCAATATTTTTTTTTTGTAGAAATTTTTTTGTTTGCTGAAGTAGTTGATGGGGTTGTGCAAAAGGTATGGATGTGCCAAGGGGTGCCGGGGTGCCTCTGAGAATGGCAGCCTTGGGCAGAAAGTTTGTACGAAGGAGAGCTCGGTTGCTCAGGAGGAGCTGTTGCTGCGGTGCAGGGAGCTCCGTGCTCTTTAGACTGACCTTGAGAAATGAGCGGTTCACTTCAGAATGTAACGGCTCTTCTGCTTTCTGCCAGTGGGATCGCGGTGTTCTGGTGGGACTGGTGTTCATTTTGCAAAAACTTTTCCTTTGGAAGTGGCTGTGGGAATGTGCCTGTTTGCCTTTGGGTACTCGCATGGGCCATCCATACCTTTTGTGTCGCCCCAGTAGACAGATGCTAGTCAGTGCTGGATGTATTTGTAGATAATGTTAATCTCTATGAAAAAGGTTAGCTTTCTAGTTAGAAAAGTTACTGTTTAATGCTTTTTGAACAAAGAAGAGGCACGTAATCACTCATTTCTCAGGTGTGTTCTAAAAGATACCGTATTTGTATCTGATGCAGACAAATTAGTGATAAGTTGCACTTCAAATGCTGGTGCTGTTTGCGATTTTGACATATTAAGTGAGCAGAGCTGCTCTTTAGGAGAGGTTATTTGTCACAGAAATCACCACAGGAATAATGGTACCAAAGTGGGAACGCCTCCTTGTTTGGGGGCAGCTGCAGGGGGTGAAACACAGCCAACCCCAAGCCAGGAAAGCCTCTGCTTCTGCCTTCACATGGTCAGGGTCAGCGTTCGTTACGCAGTCACAGAGCACTGAAGGCAGTCACAGGGTGACCAGTCCAGGTGGGATGTAGTCCTCTGAAACACCCTCTCCTAGCCTAGTTAGAAAGTGAGTGCACGCAGATGCTGCTAAAAATACAGAAGCAATCAGCAGCATGCGTGCACTTTCTTGCAGTTGTTTTTGGCAGTAGAGCGCTGCCTAAAAGGTGTGATTATTTATTTACATCCAGTCCTTCATTTATGGTGGTGGATTTCTGTTTTCAGGTGATTTTTGACGGAGTGCAGTTGGTAATGCCCCATGTGAAAGTTGCTTTTAAAATTGCAGAATGAACGTTTTAGAACTGCAAAGTGGATATGGCTTGTAATTTATGCAACACAGTGGGTGTCAGTGCTGCATCTGAAGGGAGCGAGGGATGAAACCAAGGTGTGCTCACTGATCTTCTTGGTCCTTTTTGTCCCTGCTTCATTCAGGAATACTTCAGGGAACTCCCTCATGGAAAATCTTTTTTGAAGAACTGGGTCTCTCTGGCTCACAGTGGCTGCACGTTTTGTTTTGCTCTCCTCTCTTTCCCTCACCTCCGCAGTGCTCCTTTGCGGTCTCGCAGCGCTCGTCAGTTCTTTGGGGGAAGTGCTGTAGCAGATCCATGAGGAGCGCTGTTAGGAAGGATGGTCTCACAGTCCTTCTAACAATTCAGTTTTAATTACCAACTGAAACTGAAGCAATTTGACTTTGAATTTTGCATTCTGCGTTGATGCTGCTAGCCAGCTGACAAAGTAGAAGAATAAAACAGAGGCCAAAGTGACCCAAAACCCAACGGAAGGAAGGTGCGGGTGTCAGGGCCTACAGGGAAGGGCTCGATCAGGAGTGCTGCTTTCTGTGCAACCTCAAGAGTGGTGTTGCTGCAAAAGCAGCACCCGGAGGCCCATACAGGGCTCCCTGGGCACTGCTGGTGGTTGTGACCCACTGGCCCTGCTCAGGGTGCACAGGAGTTTGCTTCCTCCCTTCCTTGTCTCCCTCCCTTTGGCGGGAAGTCTCTGACAAACCCAACCTGTGATCTCTCACGGGGTGGTTGTAGGGCCCAGTGTGCTGAACTATAAGCCTGAGAAATGAGAGATTAATAATTCAATGATTTTTTTTTTTTTTAATAAGACAAGAAACAGCCTGACAATCTTGTTGATTTCTCCTTTCTTTTTCCTCAGATTGACCCTAAAGTTGCATTTCCCCGACGAGCACAGCCTAAGGTAAGTAGGAGGATCAATAATAGGATTTTAGGCACACAGAGAATCATTGTTGCCAGGCAGTTCAGGTTTCAAACAGGGAATTGGCAATGAAAGCTTTTAAAGCCGGAGTGCATGGCGTCTTAAGGGTATCAGCGCATGGCTGTGAAACTGCAGGAGAGCTGCTTTGTGCTGTCGTGCCTGCAGTTAACTGTCTCCTTGCAGAGTCCCGGTCAGTTTGCTGGCTGAAAACCAGAGGCTTCTCTGGCGGTGGTGGGAGATTGTTGCCACATTACTTGGGTTTGTTATGCTCTTTTCTGCAGTATGTTTTGCATGGTATTTATGGAGAGCATTTGGATTAAATGCAGACTTCAGGCTTGTTTTGAGCTGAGCTTTCAGTTCTGCGGTTGTGATGGATGGGGGTATATCTGTGCCTGCATTGTTTGCAAGTTTTCTTTTGTGTAGCTTCAGAGATGCCTTTGGATATTAGCAAGTGTTGGAGAGCAAGTTCTGATGGAGCTGTGAACTCTTCGGGCCACAGGGTATTCTTCTGCAGGCACGGGGAGGCAATGAGCTTTAAGTCGGGCAGGCTGAGCAGGGACCTCCTAGCATCCTTACAGGGTGCTCCAGCAGTGCGGGGCGCTTTCCACGCCAGGACAAAGGCGCTGGCTGTGTGCAGATGCGCTGCTGGCGCGCTTGGCTCTGAGTTATCGCTCAGTGCCGCCTCCTTGGGCAGACCTGCGGATGGAGCAGGAGCAGCCGTTGCTCTTCAGGTCCTGCCTAGCAAAACCAGCAGATCAGTTTCAAATCCCAAAACGTTTGCAGTTGCGTTTGAATTTTGAAAGCTAAAAGAAAACTTCTGTAATTGGCTTTCTGACTGCCTGTTTTTGAGAATCTATAGGAGGAATCTATGTGACGTGTGCCACTTGTGCTTTTATACACTGTTTGTCTTGGGTTGTTTTGGTTGAAAAATTGGAAAAGAAGACTGTGGAGTTGCAGAGGGAAGTCAGTAAGGAGAAGCATTTAACAGCCTTTGTGG